GGGGGTTCTTCTTCTTTCTTGCGCTTGTCTTTGGACGCCTTGTTTTTCTTGGTCTCGTCCAGGATCTCCAGCCACTCCTTCTTCACCTTGCTGTTCTCGGCCTGGAAGATGCGGCTGTCGGGGAACATGAGGATCTTGAACATGTCCTTCATGGGCGGGTTGTCCTTCACGTTGACCACGGCGAAGCTCTCCAGCTCGTACAGGGCGTTGTACTTGTACTTGACCGCGCCGCGGCGGTTTGGAAGCCAGGTGGCGATCAGCAGGCAGTCGTTCATCAGGAAGGCGTGCACCTTCTGGACGGGGGACATGTTGTCCGCGTCGAACTCCACCAGGTCCCCGTTGTAAACCAGGTGCCTCCCCGGGGTGTCCATGATGTTTTTGGCGCCCTCCACCTTCTCCAACAGGGACGTGAGCGTCCTCTGCTTCAGCTCCTCCGTCTCCTTGGGGAAGGCGGCCTGCATCTCTTTGGAGGTCTCGTCTTTGTCCGTGGAGAGCAAGGACTGGGTGATGCTCTCCATGATGCTCTTCTGCTCGGTCAGGATGTGGCTCAGCTGGTACATCTCGCTCTCCAGGTACGAAATCTCCTTGGCCGTCTCGATGAACTGCCTGTAGTTCTTGTACACGTTCTTCTTCAGGTTCTGGGCCGTTTCGTCGGCCAGGTTTTGGATCTTTTGACGGTGCTCCTGCAAATCTCGGTCGCCATCCGAGTGCTGGGACAGCTGCTTGACATAATTCTGGGGGTCGAAATTAGGCGATTCGAGAAGCTTCCGCAGTCGGTTTCCGGTTTCCGACATGTTTAGTCGTATTACTGGTTATCAATTAAGACAAACAGTTAACCAAATAGGAGGTTATTTTGGACTGAGTACGAGTTCATCGAAGACGCTTCCTTTCCGCTTCAACACAAACAGGAAGCTCTACACAGGCTGACATCCGTGTGACTTCAATAAAAAAGATGGCCAACCAATTATATACACAATAACGCCAAATCTTATTTATTCAGATTGTTTAATTCAGATACGTTTAAAGATTTCTAATAACGATATATGAAATATCTTATATGTATATTTTTTACTGTTATTTCCTTTTTATATCTAATCGAATATAATCTAATCAAGTTGATGCACAGCTTTTAGGGTAAGTTTTGTTTGGCCAACAAGCTCCACCCAACGTCACCACGTATCCCAGAATCCTCCACTAGACCTGTCAAGTTTAATGAAATACTTCACCGGAAGTTAGACGTTACTGCTCAAAACACTCAACAACTATCTAGATAAAATATGTATATGCAACAAAATGCCTTACAGCCTATATTTTATGGTAAATGGAAACTAAAAAAACACTACACCGGAAACCCAATACATATTTGAACAGCAATTAAACTCTTGTTCTGAAATACTAACCGGAAGTGCCTTAAAAACCATGAAACCTTGATGATTGTTGATGGCGGTAGCTTTGGATTGTTAAAAAAATCCCTTCAACTATGAAGAAAATATGATCGTTTTTAAACAAATCAGAGCATTTGTTTATCTTCGTGGTTTTAATTAGTTTTATGATGACTTAGTCCAAGCTGACATTTGTTTGAGGACGATTTAACTGGCTATATTAGCCGTTAGTGTTCATGTAGCTAGCTAGTTAGCTAGCTAGCTAACCTGCCTCCAGCTGCTATTGTCAACTGTCATGGATGAGGATTTTCTACTTGCTATTCAGCTGCAAGAGCAGTTTGACAACGAATATGAGACGACGCTGTTATCAACAAACGGTTTTGAAGAAAACCACATTGGAAGCAGCAGTAAGAAACGAAAGGTGGAGGTAGCTGGGGGAGATAGCGATGTTATCCCAACCTGGAAGCGGACCCCCAACCCCCAGCGACCCCTGAGCATCGTGGATGAATCCTGGGAGATTCTGGACCCCAGCCCGGATGTTAGGGCCATGTTTCTGGAGTTCAACGACACGTTTTTCTGGGGGAAACTTAGTGGAGTGGAGGTCAAGTGGAGCCCCAGGATGACACTGTTAGTCCCATATCATTTTTCTGTATTTGTACTGTTGTGTTGTGTTTGGGTTTATTTGTTGTGTTTCCACCTGGAAGCTTGACATAAAGGTACCAAATACTAGATCATTAGATGTAATATCTCATAAGAGTATTGCTTAACATAAGGCACAACATTTGATGATACTCCATAAACATTTTACAAGATAAAAAAACTAAGAAACAGAAGAATTACACATTTGTCAGATCACAATGAGAGAATATCACATTAGAAAAAACCCACAATACCATCAAATGATGCCAGAAAATGCGTTTTTATTGTATTTATTTTAGGAAGATGTTGTTTTAAAGGTTCTTGCTTTTGGTTGCTCTGCGGCTTTAATGTGTTTGGTAACTGATGGGGTTTCTGTGTGCTCTCAGGTGTGCCGGTGTGTGTTCTTATGAAGGCCGCGGTGGGCTGTGTTCGATAAGACTCAGCGAGCCGCTGCTGAAGCTTCGACCAAGAAAAGACCTGGTGGAGGCGAGTTTTGGAGTCTTAAGTCTTGGGTTGTGTTTCCTAACGAGCCTCTGTGCCTCAGCCTGTTATTTATATGGAATGTTTTCTTTAAAAAACAGCCCTCATTTTTTAGTCCTGATTGAACAAAGTCATAATTACTTAACAAGGCGGGCACGAGGTGGAGACTTTAAACTCCCTCGACCCAGAACAAACTATCTAAAATCCACAGCGCATTATTTCTCCCTGGAGATCAATAAAGTGTATTCAATTCAATTCAATTCAATTATAGAGCCATATTTCACTGGAACCAACTGCCAATAACCACACGAAGATTTCAGAAAAGAACAAGCTTTAAAAAGATACTGATATGATGAACTGACCTGTGTATATATGTTGTATATTTCTACTCTTGTTTATGTTCTTATTATTTCCTACTGTGTTTTTTTTAGTTTTTTTAATGATTTGTTCATAATGTAATGTAATTTTTTCATGTGAGGACCCCAGGAAGACTAGTGGCCATTTATTTGGCAGCTAATGGGGATCCTAATAAAACTAACTAACTAAACATTTCTCTCTTCTTAAAGCCATCGACGGACTGAAAAACGTCTTTTTTTGCTCTGCGTCCGCAGACCCTCCTCCACGAAATGATCCACGCGCTCCTGTTCGTGACCCAGAACAACCGGGACCGGGACGGCCACGGGCCCGAGTTCTGCAAACACATGAACAGGATCAACCAGGCCAGCGGGACCAAGATAACGGTAGGTGGACACTCCTCCATATAGATGTTTATGTTTATGTTTGTGCATTTGGCAGACGCTTTTATCCAAAGCGACTTACAGAGTAGACACAATATTACATTTCTCATCACTATGACGATAAGCTATATAGAGGAGAAACACTGATCAGAGTCAGTGGTGAGATAGAGGTAGAGGTAGAGGGACTACAGAAGGAGC